ATATATGTATATATATATATTAAAAGATACTAAAACGCAACTATTAACTATTTGGGATGTTCACAATAGCTGAACTTTTTTTCATATAAAATATTACTTTTCTTGGAAGGAACCAAATGGAAGAAATTTTACCCGCATGTCGATGTATTTTCTGGCACCTTCCAGGCGGTGGACCACCGGCTATTGTCCACTGTGCTTGATCAGATGCTGTGCATTCAAGCCATAAACCTGTTCGGAAGCCACCTGACCGAAGCCACCATGTCGTCGACAAACACAATATGAGGAGAAAGAATGCAATCAATAGACACACCAAAGCTATCACCTGAAATTGATATTTACAAAGCAGTGCACATACTCAAAACACAGCTGCATCGCAATTCGACCGGTTTTTATGAAGGACCTACTACTAGTGCTATGAAAAGTGTTCTTGCCGGAATCGATATCACTCTCGTCAACAGCAGGAAGTTTTGTGAAAACGGCATACATTAAATTGTGTACATTCTGATAACTTTTTTTGACAGGAAATGATATCGGTTACCGATTTCATTCGAAACCTCAGTCGGCGACACCCTTTTGTTATCGACGTTTCAGATATTTCCTATCTAGAGCAATAAAGAAACTATAGTTCTGTGCGAAAGTTCCTCAACCCTTTTATGATTACAAATTATTCCACACCTTGGCAATCAATCACCGTTGCAAGAATTTGTATAACTGTACTGAAAATAAAGAGAATTAACCTTGAGAGGCCTCACTACAGTAACTGTTTCAATAGTAGTTGCTTGTACTGCCATACAAATTCGTTCACTTTTTCTGCAAATAAAACTATTGCAAAATAGCCTTTCACTAAATACTAATGTAACAACGTACGTGAATGACGAAAATTTCATTTTTTTGCGCCGACTAAATAATCAATGAATATAAACATAAAAAAGGACTCTTTTTCAGAAGCAAAATAATCACTCTAGAAGGAACTTTTCAAAGATTACATTCATTAGATATTAATTCCCAAACTCTTTAAAATCGGAAGGTTTTGCAAAAGAAAAAAAAAAAAAAACAGAACAAGATGAAGAAACGAAAACGTTGCTCATTCCAAACAGTATACAAAATTTTTCGATTCTACTTCAAAAACCCAAAACCCACCACAAAGAGTTAGAAAATCCAAGAAAAAACCATTTTCATCGTTTTTTATGTTCTGAAAATTTTTGATGCGGTAGAATGCTTTACGTCCGAGTAGTGAAAAATTCTTTAATAATTCATTACAAAAACCTGTTTCTTTAACACTTTCAGATATTAAAAACAAAACACTTGATTTTCGGATGAGTGATATTACCATCAGAAAAGTTGGATATCCAACATTCATATTCTTACTGCTCCTTTCGATATCCTCTAAGGAAAAAAATATGAAAAATTCTTTAAAAGACAAAGAATTAAAGAAAACATGTCTCACAGCGATAAATAATAAAAGAAGGTTAAATTAATAACAAGCAGTCAGGAAAACCTCTTAGACTTCTACAGAATAATGTTCAACTGCTGCATATCAACTTTTACGGTATCTTATCAATCAATTAAATTTACACATATGTTACCAATTATATTACTAAATTTCAAATATATTATCAATTACTACATTCCCAAAGATTTTTTTACAAATAACAGCATCGAAGTTTATTAAGATTTAAGTGTGATAATTAGAATTGGATTTCAGCAATTCTGTCAGTTATTATGAAAATTCTTGAGATCAAATTGGTTTAAAGAGATCAATCTGATGATGTTACAAGCTACACTGCTACTGCAAGATTTTGGAAAAAATTACTTCGAATGGTTATCAGAAATCGGAAGCGATTTAACAATAGAAACATCATCGAATTTGATAAATATTTCATTCAGTTAGCAAGCAAAAGGAAACGAATGTACAACAGAAATCAACTTGTGATATAGATCATTAAGATACACCGTTAAGTGTTATCTAGTTGAAATGTCCCCATTCCCATCAAACAGTTAACTGCGTAGGTGTCTCTAATTACATGGAATTGATGACACTAAATTGCTAACCGAATAAAGCAATTGGAATAACAAAGAAAAATTCAATTTCTATATGCAAATGGGACTTCTAAACAAGGAAAATGGATTTGAGAAAATGGAAGAGGAACTGAATGAATGAGTTAGTAGGAAATAAATAAAAAGCAAGAATCTTCGAGGAGATTATTTCGAATTGCTCCGTATGATTAGCATAGAATATATATAGTACTGTAAAATGATTGTATCTTCTCTCACTAAATAGAAGTTTATACCGCTGGAGGGATTAGTTACAACAGTATAAACAAAGAGCCAAGAAACCAACGGAATGAATGATGGTAAAAAAAAATGAGACAACTGTAACTGTTAACTATCCGTTGTATGTTTAAATTTTAACTATCCGTTTTCATGTGCAATCAACCACTGTATTTGAATTTAGACAAATCGTTAAGACCGATCACTGAAAAATTGATCATTTTTCATGTTTACCTCAACAGGATCAGTAATCTTTTCGAACTGCCCTTGAAATGATGCGATGACTAAACTTTTCACATATGATTTCTGAAGGAACTCATCAAACATTTGCACAGAAAACAAATTTATAATCATAACACCTGCTTATCAAAACAATATGCCTCATTATTCCTATATACCAACAATTTCCTTGAACCGAAAAACGAAAAAAAAAACACAATATATCAATAAATGTTTCATGCAATAAGTATCACTGATATCAATAGATGTTCTTTGATAAAGGAAACTGGATAACATGATCTGATTGATAAATAATGAAGAAAATGAGATGTAGCATTGATAGTGTCCGGAAAATTTCTACAGTGCGATTATGGAATGGACTAAAAAGATTCATTTCCACTATTCATCGGAAATCTACAAAATGAAATAACTGTACTATATTTTCTGGAGTAATTTGAATTCATTAAAAAATGAACTGAGATCAAGACTCAGAAGAGGAAAACTTAAATTAACTGAAGCAAAATTAACCTAATTTAGCACAATTTACTGATGATCATGATAGGACCGATATGCAGTATATCAAATGAAATATTTAATCGAGTAAGCAATAAACAGCACCCTGATAATATAATCAGCAGTGTAATCAATTGTCGAGAATGTAATCAGTTTTCAGGTTTTTTTTTATTTTCCCCATAAAGCATCATATCATCATGGAATAGTTCGGAATCTCAAAATTTCAAATTACAAAGTGATTAGTCGAAGTTTTCCCGTCATCCCTTTCTGTACACTTTTTTTTTTGCTTGCGAGAGAGTACATAGTGCAAGTATTAATTTAATAACGAAAACATGAATTTCAAATTATTTGTGCTGAAAGGCTAAATTTTAGACGGCAATTTATCTACTTACAATTGTTTGCAAATATATTATTCAATTTGAAATAGCGAATGAAGTGAGGTGAACTAAACTACCTAACTTTTTTTGACCTATTTCACTAATCGCTAATATATTCGTAGCTGCCTCGAGGTATTTCATATTCTCCTCAGATACGCATTTCATTTTAGATTTCACATTGACTCTTTAATATTAGCTGTTGTTTAAAACCAAACTTTCGTTTCCAGCCCCTCAGTGCACTGATCCCAATTGTCCATGCTAATTTCCAAAAAAAGTACACTTTTGCCTCTGTTTATAAAGGAAAAGAAAAAATTCACACTTATTGACTTTTGGACATTATCAACAAATTCTTTTTTAGTATCATACAAGGGATAGAGGCAATGAAATCTCCAGCTTTCATCCACTGTACAAACGAATACCGTCAAGTTAAAAAAAAATCTAGAAAGATGTGAAATTTACTAAATTTTAATCCTCAATCGATCTGACTTAAAATAACCAAAGTTTTGTGGCATGTTTGCTAAATACCCATTCTTTGTATATTGCTTCCATACCTACAGAGCTATTTTGAAGGAAGAATTAGGATATTTGAAAAACTACATAAAGTTTTAAGTTTTGATGACTAAAGAATAAAAACAAAAAAGAAGAGAGATAAAGTTCTTCAAACGTAACCTATGACCGGTTACAATATAACATGTCGAGGAGAATATTCAAAACGAGAAACAAAATGTAAAACAAATTACCTGAAACATTCTCAACAACTGAAGTGTTTCTTTTGCAGGATGACCTATTACTCTCTTATAAAGACTTATCGTACCTCTTTGATATCTTTGGCTCCTAGCAGCATTCATGATTTTCCTTTTTGAAGAAATTCTCGCATGATCCCTCAGATAAAAAAATCAAAACAGATTAACTTTCAAAACAGCAACTATCGTATCATTATATTCGATAGAGCCCCTGAGCGATCCTTAATAACTTCCCTACCACCGGTAGCGAAGCCATATGGTAAGATAATCCTAGCGAATCAAATTAGGAAGTTTTTTTTTAAGGAAGTCAAGAAATTTGAACGAATCAAAACAAAGTGGATTAGATAATCCAAAAATATATATCTACAAGGAAGAATTGTCGGCTAAGGAAGTTGAACCTTCTTTTTTTTCGAAAGAAGTTTTGATTCCTTGCAAAAAATTAATACTTTACAATAGCAATACTTTACTTTTAATACTTTCCCTTTACGATACCAAATAATTTTAAATAACGAGGAATTCCTCGTTGTTTAAATAACAAAACAACAAGGAATCAACATAAATCTCTGTTGTTAACAGCGTATGAGTAGATACACAATAAAGCTAATATATGCAGCAGTGCACTGAAATGACTCCCGCATTCAAGGACACTTTTTATAAACAACTTTGAAGAAGAGCTGAATGTTCCCATGAGAAGATTTGTAGCACAAAATGATAAAGCTTCATAAGGAACAGATAAAATGATATAAATAATTGATTTAGCAATGTTGCATATTTGCGTATTAATGTAATAAACAGTGTGACAGCGTTACTTCGACGAGAAATGCAAAAATGACGAAATAATATGCAAGTATCAGTAAGAAAAGGTAACATTCTGAGAATGTCAATGCAAACATCATTAGAGATGCATGCATGCGCGCGCTTTCACAACAGGGATTTCAAGTGTATCGAGGAAATGTTTAAATTACGAATACATATAGAGAAATACATGAAACAGTGGCCAAGGTTAACATTACAAATGGAAACTGCGCGGTGCAACGCTCATCTGTTCCTCTCTTCAATAGTTAGTACTGCCAGCAATAATCCATCTACAGCCAATTTTAAAGTGCTAATTGAATATTTTGAAATGGATGTTCGTATAATGGTAAGTAGAATGAAAGCCTGATCATTATTTATCATTTAAAGCACTTTGCTTTAAACTTCAAAGTGGTTCAATGCACTTTGATAGCTATGACCGCTGAATAAAAGTCAGATGAAGAAAGCACAGAAAGTTAGAGAATATTATTAAATAAGTAGAACTGAAATTATTAATATGCGAATAAGAGAACTACTTTTAAGTAAAAAATTATCGTTTCATTTTTTATACTTACACCTTTCTGAAAAAAGAAAACTTATGGTATTTCTCATGGATATTAAAAATAGATTGAAAATAAAACTCAATTTAATATTGCAAAAAAATAATAAAAAAGTTCATAGAGATATTCCAAATATTATTTCCAGTTCATGATGCCCAGTCATTTAGAATTTTTCAATTTATCTTCCCCAAAATCGTCAAAATATAGCCTTAGTCAGATAATATTTTAATTTGATTTCAACTGATAAAACTATACCTATATGAAACTAATTGTTGTGTAATTGTGTTCACAATCATATCAATACTCATCAATCATTGTCGACTACTGTTTGGGAAAAAACTGGATAAAATTGAACACTATCATTCTTCTATCCATCAAAATCTTATCCCAATTCATTCACACAAAACTATATTGACCTTATAATCCGGTGGACTCCTTAAGTCTAATTAATGAAAGCAGCAGAGATTACACGCAATAAGAACTAGTAATAAGTAATTAATTTAGAAACATTTGTTAAGCATTTCCTATAGTTTCCAGATAGAGAGGAACAGAGAGAGAGAGAGAGAGAGAGAGAGAGAGGGAAAGAGAGACATGTGACATTATGCATCACCAACCTTCTCCTCAATGTTCGTTTCAAATATCATCGGTATATTTACTATATGAAACGAATCACAGCTATGAATTCGGACTGTTCTAGAAATAATCACACTTCTAAAATGTAGTACTGATAAAGGATGATGGTTTTTTATTTTTGCATTGGTCATAATATTTCTCATTAGATCAGCAACAGTTACTGCAATACGCGTCGTGATGCATGTGCTGACTCAGAATAATTTAATTAACTAGCAAATTAACGAAATCACTGCGAAAATAAAGGAAGGATAAGAGATAAAGTATCACTTGGATCGATTATGAGAAAGTGCATAATTCCTTATCAAACATATGCTCTCTCAAACTAATAAAATTTGTCGAATTCCGGATACATCGGAAGATGTGTTCCTGCTAATGCTAAAGCTTGGAGAATTATTTGCAACCTTATCCTATCCTCTTAAACGAAATGCTCATAAAGGTGTTAAAAAAATTCTAAAAAAAAAATAAAAAACTCGACTAGGCTGAAACACTTGTATGTCACATGTCACATTACGACCTTCAGTTATAAACTGATAAGTTAAAGATAATAAAGAGACAGACAGATAGACACCTGTCTTCTCCCTAATTTTACATTTAGAAAGAAAAACGGCTCGAATTTCTGAGAAAACAAAATAAACACACACACATACACAAATGAATGTTTAGTAAAGACGAATGAGAATGCACACTGCAAGAGGAGGACAGTTTGTTTATTCATCGATCTGTGTGTATGTCTGTGTGTGTGTGAGCAGTGTTGGCTGAGTGCCCGTTGTTATTTGTTTACATTTAACAGTGTGCGTGGTCTGTCCTTTGCTACATCCATATATGTCGTTCTTTTTATTAATGGATTGACCCAAAATGAGGAGAAACTTTACCTACTTAATATGTACGTGCCTATATGTCTTATTTTTGTAGCATCAAACAGAACCAATAATCTGTCTACTCCTTATCAGTATGGCCAGAGTCACTGTCCTTATTTTAGTTTTGTAAAAAGGTCAGTGTTTCATTAAATGGCATCTTTTTCGGATCTCTTCTATTATCCGTTACTTTCTTCTCTCTTTCTTTTTTTAAAGCTTTAATGTTGAAATTCTTATTAACCTTCATTTTTGTACTGATACATTCCACTAATTCATTGTCATTTCCGAATATGAGACAGCACTTTTCCAGAAGGAAGTTCCGATTTATTAATGACTTCTAACTAACTATAGCAAAGTGCAAATCTGGAGCTGGTGGTAGTAGTAAGATATGTTTAATATTAAAATAACCGATGATAAAGTTTTAGTTTGAATAAGACAGAAATTAATTGTACGATTTATGTGCTAGCTTTTTTATGCCGTGATTCATATTGTTTTACAGATTTTGGTTAATTGAAGTAGTAATGGGGACAATAAGCAAGACAACTTTTAGTCGAGACATTGCGGAACTTGTTGAGAAAACGGCGAATTTGGACCTGAAGTACCAGTGGCAGTTTAATGATGTAAGCACTTCCTTTGATTTCAACATTTTCGAAATGATATCGAAGTTTAAAACGCTGATTCAAAGTTTTGCTACCGTATGATATCTTCCTGATTAACCAGACTACGGGAGTTCTTTGCAAAATTGTTCGGGAATTCATTGAACGGAAAGGTACAATTGTCGGATAAAGAATCATTCTCAAAATATATCGTTTTTTCTTTTTAGTTATAGGGCACATTGTTCGATTATATTTAAGCTATGTAAACTGAAATTTTTAAATATTTAAGGAATATCGATTGATTATTTTATTTATGCTTAGAAAAAAAAGGAAGTTTTTAACATTTCAGTACAGAAATGGGCAATTTTTATCAAACAGTTCAGTGTTGGAATTGAATGGCCAAACGATTTTACGCACATTTCATATTACTTATAGTGAAAGCTATGAAGTTCCCATACTGTGGTTTATTTTCAGTCGACAAAGTTTTTTTTTTTTTTATTCTTTATATTAACTATTTGCCATGCCACTGCTTTGAAGATTAATGATAACTACGTTTTACTAACTCCTGAAATTCCCTAAATTAGTTCAGTACATGAAACAAGAAAAATTTACATCAGCATTGGATCATTGGTTTGTCTTATGGGAAGCGCCATCTGTAGTTTCTTTCGTAACTGTTTGCTTTTGAAGTTTTTGAAGTATGTTCCAGAATCTAAACAAGAACTTTAGCGTTAATTGTGTTTTCTAAAGCTCGCAGAAGCATTAATTTTTGCTAAATCCACTTCTTTGGAAATCGATATTCGGATAAGTTATGCATGTAAAAGTCATACAGTGAAAATACAATGATTTATTGCAGCCGGTGCTTTATTAAACATAGAAGAAATTTTGGAACTGATGCCTGCTGATAAACAGAAGACAATATTGTCAAATTGTTTAACTTCAATATCTCAGCGCGAGCATCCTGTTTTCAATCTTCTTTTCTATCATTTTCATCCTTGTAGGACAGCAAATCTCATGAAGGAAGTACGCTACGACAATTACGTTATCAGGTAAATTATTTTAATTTACTTCAACTTCATTGCGTCAAAAAATATTGACCGGGATAATAAAAGATCTCTGATGCTCATCAAGTCCTTTTTTAAGCCACTAATTTTTGTAAAATATTATATTACCACAGTAACATAAAAGAGTGGGTTCACACGTTGCTTTTTTATTTTACTTGTATAACATTTCAGATTTAAAAAAGTAGAGTCCTTATATATAGAATTTGTAATTTCAGTGATTTTCTGATTCTTTTGATTGACCATAACTTTTCCAGCTGGTTATCAATATTTGGCTCACTTTTGCATTTGTTACCGCTACCAAATGAAATATTTATAAAAAAATGATATCGCTATAAATAACAACTGTTGGAGCAAACAACACTTGTAGTCCCTATCGATGTTTGGATTCGTTGATTCTGTTTAGGATCCGTAATCACTTGATATTATTGCATTAAAAAAAAGAACTGAATGACTTTAAAATTGAAATATTTGCTAGTAGTACTTTATTTCTCTTGCCTTGTTCAATTTTATGAAATGTGTTTGTTATTTTTATTGAACAGCAAGAATATTCTTTCCGTTATTTTTTTTTCTTTTTTTTTGTTGAAATACTTATATTTTAAGGCTCAGCAGAAAATATTCATGCTTGTTAGTAAGCTAATTTTTGTTGGGATAATAGGGATTTACTCGGTTTCCGAGACAAAGTTTTCATTTGGTTTACTGCGTTAAAATCCATCTAGCCTTGTTGTCTTTGCTGTGATTCGTACTTCAATGGAAATAATCTTGATGAAAGTGTGCTGAGATTTAGAGGCAGAGGGTTTTGAGTCTTTAATTTCAGATCTGTTAAAAAATGAATAGGTGAAGAAGACTGAAATTGTGAATTCTATTTTCTATTAAACCCATTGAAAGCTGAGCTAATTTTGACAACGGTGCACAATAACCCAACAGGCGTTTGCTTTGACTGGAGTCTCCAAGTTATAGTTTAACTAAGTACTTCTACTAACTGACTGCAGTACTGGTTTATGTATTCAGATCAAATCTTTGTGTAAGCTAATAGTTTATTATTTGAGCTAGTTTCTTCTTCCCGAAAAACTTAAAAATAGATAAAGACTTTCATGACTCTAATAATGAGTAGGACCAGAGCAGATATGTATCTTTTGGAAGCATTAGTTTAAATTTTTGAATGCAAGGTAAAAAAGTGTATTAGTTCAGCAAGACACATCTGGAAAAAGCGATGCATAAGATGATTTTATGTAATGATGTTGTTTCTTTTAAAAAGTTGTTCCTAAAATTTCGAGTTTACTCAGGAACAGTCAGTGGCATGTTTATTATTTTCAAATGATCAACAAAGAGAACAGAATACTCATAAAAATAGTGCAAATGTACAATGTAAAAGTAGTGTAAGAACAGTTGAGCTTACTTAGCCAATATTTCTCGTTCTCAATGTTAATAGAAGGGTATGCTCATTTTTGCAAGTTTCCGCTGACTCAGCTTTTTAAATATATTCACAATCATAGTATGACTTATTTACAACAAAACAAAAAATGGAGCTCTTTCAAATGTCACGTAGCAAATGACAATATTATTGTCTTTGATAATGAATTCAATGGCTCTTCAATAATTGATTAAGGAACAGGCATATAAAGTTCAACCTTAAATGTAAGTGGATAGACATAGAAAATACAAAAATACCCGTAGAATCTGTGTAGTCATCATGCTAAAATTCATTGACACCATAAGTTGAGGCCAGTAGTCAGAGGAAGAGGATAAGATACCAAAAGTACAAATAAACAATTCATTAGCATTTAGGTTTTTAAAGACACAGTCTTTTTTTGGTGGGTAAGCAATCATAAATGAACTTGTGCTTGAATATTCCACCAAGACCTAACACATGTATAATTTGATCAATTTGTGGCAACATACGGTAAATAATATAACTAGATGAGTGGTCTTCATTTTAATCTAACTGTCCAGTTGTTTGTCAAAGAAAAAAGATCACAAATGCGAAATAGGATCTGGTATCTATCAAACTTGTTAGCAAATGGTATTAAACATGCAGAAGTAATCGATTGGAATACATTGTGCTATACTATTTGAACATTTCAGTATATAGAGCAACTGCGCCACAGCAAAACCGTCATATTCATTCTATAGCGAAGCACTCAACAAGCATAGAAAAATCAGTCGTCGATCATGACGTGAATCGTATGCTGATCTGATTGCGTACATTTGTGTGGACGGAAACATTTCAGATGAACACAAATTAGTGAGTCTCAATAAGCAGAAGATAAGAATAGGGACGTAAGGAAACTAGAAAAATTCTGAATTCGAAGTACTTCGTCTCTTGAAAAAGTCTATCACCTAAAAGACAACACGAAATTGTAGCACACTAATCATAAAGTGATCGAGCAGTGCATTGTTATTAAACGGTATACTGATCGGGTACATTTATGTGGACATAATGGTGCACATCAGTAACTGGCGCTACAACTTTCCGGAATCCTGGTGCGAAATTTGGACGGATTTGAAAGAATAGACTTGGAGAGAGAGAAGTCCTATTCCGGTAACTAGACCGTGCAAGTAGTACCGCACATATCAAATAAGAGAGCATAGAACAACTGAAAAGAAAAAAAAAAACGTTAAATTCGTTTGACGATTTTTGAATTTTGATCAATTAAATTTATTTGTGAACATTTATAAAGTTCAAAGTTTTCGCACTATCTTAATAAAAAAGCAAACTGATACTAAAAAGTTTATTTGCAAGTTCAATTTTTGAGAATCTCATGCTATTTTATTCAATGTCTAGAGTCGTTGATTTCTTCAAAAGAATTTTCGAAAAAATTATTTAACTAATAACAGTTAATAATTTAAAAAAAAAAAGCTAATAATACCTTTGAAAGGCACTCAGATAAAGCAGCACATCTTATCATGATGTGCGCCATTAAACTTCCAATTTATATTTATTTTAGATTTCTGAAAACCAATTCTAGTTAGCTTTTATCGAGAGTGCTATAGTGTGCATTCAAACCTACAATTTGATAAGTTAATCAAAGCATAACACAAATAGAAGTAAAACTATCAAACCTGATTGCCAGACAACTAATTAAAAACCATGGTAGTCCGCTTCGAGATATACTCTGACAGACACTTGTGAAAATTGTACCATCGAAAATATCTGCAAAAAAACTTAGGTGTTAGGTACACGTGATTCAGTCACAACTATTTAAACAAAGCTGTTCAAATTTATGTAAAATCACAAAAAAATCTCTTCTTTTTGATCAATTTCACATGAATGTTTTAGAGGTTGCATTGAGAAGCATCTGTGAAAAATGGATCTTGGAAAAAATTTCCAAAATATCAATAAAATATTTAAAATAAATTACCATTAGATATAAACGGGATGGCGTCCATGTATGTTTTAGCACTTGTACGACCCGCAAAATTTCTTACAACACATTCATAAACACCAATGTCTTGACTCAAAAACCGTTGAATTTGAAGTGAGCCATTTGAATTTTGAACAATCCGCTTATTTGACAAATCCACCACCTCTCCATTCTAAAATTTTTTTATAAATGGTAAGCATGAAAAAGTTGAATATTATAGAGTATAAATTATTGATAGAAGTAAGATTTTACTAAAATTAACATCAATTTACCTACCAAAAACCAGGTATAAGTTGGTGGTGGGACAGCTTTAGTTTTTGGGCAATCAGCGGTAACATGTTGTCCAAAGTGTGCTAAAGTTGGACGAAATGTTGGTCGGGAATTACTTGGAAACGGTTCCACAAAGGCAACAATAATTCGAGCTATCTCACCTTCTTCTCTGTTATCTATCCTACGACACCAGTAGTCGCCTTCGTCTTCTGGAATAAACAAAAAACTTTTTCAACTTGAAAAAGTTCGGTTTCATAAAACATTTCAAAGAAATCAAAAATCATTTTGAAATGAAAATGTTGACATTTGTAGAAAGAAATGGATGACTTGATAAATTTGAAGAATAACTTGCCGACAGATATATTTGTAATGATAAGAAAGCCAACATCTGGGATAGATTGGTCCCGATTGTACGTACAGTCGTGCAACACTGCATTTGAAGTACTGCAAGCTTTATTGCAAATATTGTTAAATTAAAGAAGACAGATCGCAAGGAAGCCTTTCAAATTTATCATATTATATGAGAATTTTGTTGAGCTGAGAAAATATGCACTAAATTTTATTGGAATTTAATTTAACAACAAAATTATGCAGGGTTTAAATTATTTATAATTATTATTTACACTAATTTACAAACAAATACGGTTTTGAAATCCGTCAAATGTCCAGTACTCAGAAGGAAAAATTCCTGAAGTTAGAAGATTTTAAAAAGTTGGTTTTACAGAGAAGTGATAAATGTTTCTAAACTGCAGTGTTATAAAATTTACAATGTATTTTTCTTACAAAGTTAGAAATAGCTACCTTGAAACATTTGCAACAATTATGCCGTTGTGATACCATTGTGCTTGACTATTGGTACCAGTAAATACCGGTTCACACATCAGTGCTGTTGTTGAATATCTGTACGTAGTATATTTGCCCATAAGTAAAAACGTGTACCTTATGACGACAAAAAAATCAAATCTGATGAAAAGATTGTTTCTAGGATAATTTTTTTTTTTTTTTATATTCTTTTTGGATAATTTTTGTTTCTTTAATCAAATATTATATCTTAAATCATCTAAAGATTCAGATTCACTTATAGTTTTTACTAGTTCTCACTCCTATTACAACATACTGTATTATTAGTTGCCATATTATGTTTTGTCATTTTTTTAAATTATTAATTATTATAATTCTGCATGAATAAAAAAAAAAGAAAGCAGCAATATTCGCTAAATTTATTTTCACATAAACTTGAAAGTTTTCTGAATCCTTTTCGCATACCAAAATTTTCTGTTGGTTCTCTGCTTTTGCTTCCGCCTGATTTTTACTACGGTCTCAAATTCATTAGACTGTACATTCAGCACAATAATGATTATAATATAAATTAGAAGTTATTAGCAAAAAAAACTACATGACCTACGCTTATAATTGCATATTCATAAGCGTCTATTTCCTTTTCTTTTTTCCGGATTTATCAGCCTTGGAAAAGCATTATACAATTTGTTAGTCAAAATGTCAAAGTTGGAAATTAAAATGTTCCTGCTGAAATGTAGTTGTTCGCGACACTTAAAGAAATTCAAAACACCAAAAGTTTTTGAATTAGAATTCTTATATACCTTGGTATCAGCATTTCGTTAACCACTTTGGGCTTGCCCTCGTTCGTTTCTGCTTTCAGCAACTGAGTATTACCTGGATTGCTATATCGGA